CGGGGGACATCCAAACACAAGCCATAATAGTATGTCAGGATCTCTTTTTCAAAGGCTGAATGATAATTCCATCAGGTGGAAGGATGGATGGATAGACAGATACCACATTTTGTTTGTCCATCCTTCCATTATCAGACAAATTGTTTCCATATTTCATCTCTTGTGAATAATACTTCAGTGAATATGGGAGTAAGCTGCCTTTATCAGGTGGTAATTTCATATTCTTTAGGTGTATACTAAGAAGAGGGATTGTTGGGTCACATAGCACCAAAGAGTTGGTTTTGACGCTGTGTTTCTTCAGTTGCTAGTTGTATGATCTTTAGCTTCGTTTTTCCAGCAAGTATTTCCAGAATTGACATAGAACTGTCAGTTTCTGGGAAAGCATAAGTGAAAAAAGCCATGGTTCCCGACTTTGCAGTGGGAGAAATAAACAAGAGTTGCTTCCATTAATGCCTGGTCGGGCTGTGGCAGAGACTGTCAGCATAGATCATCAGTTCTAGGGACATATCAGCAGGTTATGAAAGCCAGTCTTGGAAGACCAGCAGAAGCCAGAAAAAAAACAAACAATCTGAGTCCTGAGAAATGAGGAGGGTTTCATCAAGGAATGAAGAAAGAAGAACCAGGAGACTCTAATACGAAAATCCTTCAGGAAAAAGAAAACACAGCTCTTTAGAGGACAGTGCTTCTGCAGTTCATTAGCATGCACAACATAAAATGATAAGGAATAAGGCAGGGTGGGGGTGCAGGAGAAATTCAGTCCACACTAGAGATGTTCCTAACCCTTATTTGCAACTGGTAAGGAGACTGACAGCGTAACAGCCCAATGAGAATTGCAATCTTAGCACCTGACTTAGAATCTTGCAAAGGTGAGTTGGAATGGATGGAGGTGGCAAGAACTAAGGAGGATTAATTAGGAGGCATAGCCATGGTCCTAATCTAAGACAGTGGCATTGGGGTTGGAAAGAGGAACACAGATTTGAGGACTGAGGGAGGAAGAATTAACAGGACTTGATTAGGCATAGGCCACTGTGAAGGGCGAGTGTGAGAAATGAAGCTTGGAATTTTTAGTTTTCCCATCATGCATCATGGATTGATTAGACACCACTCAAAGCAGAGTAACATGAGCATCAGGATGAAGCACCACATTTCCCAGCAAAACCTGCCACAGTCCAATCTGCTCTGAAGAAATAACATTTTGGTGGGCCCATTCAGGGAAGCTGATCAATTGTGAGGAAGATTCTAATATTTTTTTAATGAACCTGACAAGAATCTTCTATCAGAGAGAGCAGGACATTCCAAATAAACGCAGCTTATCTCTTTCATTTCTACTCTGAGTAATGAGCTTTAGAAATTGGTTTGAAGAAAAATTTTTATTAGAATTCTATCTTTGCTTTGATTAAAAGAGAATTGAAGACTTGAAGCACTCTTTCTCCAGCTGGCTTTGTGGCTTCAGAGTACAGTAAGGATAAGTAGATCAAACACTGACCAATAAAAGTTCTATAACAGGCAATGTTAACTGGGCCCACAATGTGTGGGAAGAATCGTGACAACTTAACAAAGGCTCAACCCATAGCTCTCAGTGAACTCCATAAGGTAATGAGAATCACTTTTTTTCTGAGTGGAGAAGTGGGTATTGAGTATTTACCAGCAGGAAACATGGCACCTCATTTAAGCCACTAGGTAAATCCCCACCATCAGAGTCCATCAATTTATCACTATCAGTGTTTTAAGTGCTTCTACTTATTTTCACAATCCTCTCTCTCTCTCAAGTTTGGTTTCAGTATAATCTTGGGATTCAATAGATATGACCTGGCATATAAAGTTAGTGAAACCCATTTCTGAAGCACAGACCACTTACATGAAGCACTATCTGCTATGGGACAAGCAGCTGAATTATCTACCAGATAATTTACAGGAGATCAATTCACTGATCTTGCTACCATGAACTCCTCCCATTTTATCTCAATTAGGCCTAGAAGCAGAGTATTACTGGCCAAACAGGGTCATTATTGTTCTTTTCTAAGGTCTTGTCCTCCTGTATATACATGTATGAAATGATAATGGAGCCCTCAGTGTGTTAGTTGGATACTTGCAAACGTTTAGCCTCTGTTCTTCTATCAATGAAGTCCAATTAGATCAGACAATGAGAATTGTTTTTCTATAAGAGGACAAGCAAGTACTGAATATTCACTGGCACTATCAGAGTATACCTTAAATCAATCAATCATCTATTTATCTGTCTTCTATCTCCCGTGTATCTATCAAAAGAGAAAGAGAAAAAGAAAGAGATTGGGGATGGGAAATGGCTTTTCCCACAATTAAATAATAGTGGGCTGACATATTAATAAGTCCTCAAGTATTTAGGTTTTAATTAGTTAATTATTTACATAATCTTTGGATTTAAAATCTTTGAAATTCAATAACCAACATAATGCAAAAAACCCCAACCTTGTCAACTTCTAGAACCTCATCTTTCTTCAGCTTACTGAAGAAAATTTGTATGATTTGAATAAAAATCTAAAAGTCAGACACATACAAGTTGACCATGAAATGGATAATGGAGGCAATAATTTTTTTCTGGAAATCTCTGCTTCAGTTATCTGGAAAGCTTAGTTAAAAACAAAAACTTCTAAGGCTTTGAATTATGTGGACAACTGTTATGTTTCCTTTATTGTGATGATGAAGACATTCAAAGCGGCAGTGTTTCCTACATTTTTGACTATAGATTAAGACAGAAGAAGGCATCTAGTGATGGCATGTGAACACCAGCTGTTGCTACACCTCTGAAGTTCCATCTTGTTTTAGATTACATTTAGAAAAGAGAATTAAAAGCATTGCCATTAAAAAGAATCTGTTAAAATATGGCAGAAAGTTTTCACCTTGTGCAAATAATAAAGCAAAAACTCATTGGGTCTTTTACCCTTTAAGCTTCAAGATACTTTAGAGAGGTGCTCGTGAAATAAATTGTGCACATTATACCCAACTCATGCAAGCTCTCAGCCTGCTGCATACTGAGTGATAAAATCTTTCTCTCTCATAGTCACATTTCATAAGAAATGAGGCACTACATACTCACTTTCCATGTGCAGCACTTGAAACCAAATCCCTCTCCTTTGAAAAGGAGCTAGGCATCCAGAAATGACTAATCTTACAAGTTGGTCTCTCAGGTGAATTACTCTCAGATGCTCAGATGGATAATGTGCCCTTTCTTCTATGAAATACCTGTTGCATAAGCAGGTGAATTTCAACCAGATGGCTTTAAGAACTATAGATTTGGCATTTTTGGACATAATTAAAAGTGGGATGAAGACCTTCCCATTGCCAAGAGCATAATCATTACACCTCATATGGTAGAAACATTTACGAGGGGGGATCATGTGCAAGAGCTGTGTGCAGACACAACTTTCCACTTGTGGTGCAGTCCTGAGACAAATGACCAGAAACAGAAATGACTAGAAATATATGTGGCTTCCATTAGGAGAAGGGCCTAAGACTAAAATACAGTTCACATGGTTGATTTGGGAAATGATCCAGGAAACATGGAAAGAAAAGCCAAGTGATAGAGGAAAGGGGCCCTATCAATAAAGGGCAAGGTATTAAGCCACTTGCTACAATGGGAACTTGTATGCTGCAGGGAAACACTGAGAAGTGATGTAAAACGGATACCTTAAAATCAGGACACCCAAGAGGAGAGGAGCTGAGACACTTAGACATTGGAGAATCACTGGTGGAGGGCAAGGTTTCAGTGGATGTTAATTGCTTGGCACTGCCTGCCTGCCATAGCAGAGTAACCTTCTACTGGCAGAGAAGGTTCTCATTAGGTCTTGAAAAAAAGCACAAAGTTGTAGATATTGGTAGTTGAAGATTTTTTGCACCACTGAAATATTAAGGCCAAGGAATATGTGTATGGGAAACATTTTCTAAAATGTTTTCAAAATTTTCTTTCATCTCCTTTTTTTCTATTGTTTGTTCTTTTCTTTTTCTTCCTTCCTTCTCATTTAATTTGGCTAAATGTGTCAGGGCCAAGAAAATGACCTACCTCTATTCTAATTGTTATTTTTTTCCCTTGACAAATTCCATTACACGTACTTTGGAATATTGCTTTAAAATATATTGCCTCAGTCATCGTGCATATGGAAAGCCCACAAAGTTAGCCTGTTTCCTAGGTGCATACATATCACACTGGCATTATTAAAACATATCTGGAAACCAGGATGTTTTAACAGTCAAGACTTGATAATATATTTAACTCTCTTCACCCAACATCTGACAAGGAACAAAACTTCCTTCAGTTCCCGGGAACTTTTGTAGAAAATCAGTTGACTTGTAGACTTGACTTCGCTTTTTAGAGCTTTAGCCTTCATTATTTTTTGAACAGGGAGGTTAAGAAGTAGCCTGTCTTATAAGCAATGGATTGTCAGATAAATTAGCTATACCCAAGTTTTAGAAATGTCTAATGACTTTGAATTACTATTCAAATTAGGTTTTTAAATTTACTTTACTGTGGGCTTTCCCAGGTGAATGCTAATGATGGAGTAAATATGTTCTACACTGAAATAAAAATGTAAGAAATAAATAAAACATTTTAGCAAAATATAGCTATTCACAACAAGGAAAACAAATCAACCATATAAAAGAAGACTTCAAGATATTTCTGGGAAACATAAATCTGTGTGTTCATATTCCAACTGAGTATATCAGCCATCATGATTGTTACTATACCATTTCTCCATTTTATTCATATTTCTCTGTCATAACAATCAGGACCATATTCTATGGCTGCTTGTTTTAGTCTGCAGTAAATGATCTGACTCTAGGAGGTAATATTTGACTTGGTATACAATCAGGGTACTGTTTGTTCTTCTGAGACTGAAGAGAGAAAAACAAAGCAAACAACTTTACTTAGCTTGATGCTGGAATTCTGATAAACCTGACTTGGCTTCTACTCAGTTATTCAAACAGATGTCTTTATAAACTTTGCTGAAATCCTACCTAATGAAGACTAATCTCTGGAAAATGAACAGACATTTCAGACTTGATGATTCTTACAAAGAAGCAGATTTTTCAGGTGAGCCCTTTGAATTTCTTTTAATGCCACTATTCCAGGAATTTATTTTTTATCTCTTCCAACCAAGAAAAGTAATGTTATTCATGTCTCTGAAGGGCCTCTCCTGGGCCTTCTTTATGGTCAAGATGGTATTTTTTCCACAGTGCATGGCTTTAGAGCACATCACTTTATCGTGCATGTCCATTTTCCATATTAATTCAAAATAACTATAATAGAGGATCAGTGGAGCTTGAGTTACTCTTACACTTTGCATGATGCCTCAGAAAAATCTAGACAGCCTAAAATATCACTTTAGATAATGGCCCAAAGAATAACATGAGAAAAGACTCAATTTAACTCAACAAGCATTTTTCTGGGAGCCTGCTTTGCTCAAGGTGTTATGTTACATATGAAGGTGAATTTACAAAGTGGGCAACATTCCCCGATGTTGTTCAGTTACATCACTGAGAGACTTACACCTGGAGATAGAGTGTGCAAGCTAATATTCCAGGTATGCCTCCTGCAGGATGGTTAGACATTTGAGTTTATAGTACAAGTCCAAAGCAGGCTTCCCATACAACCATGGGTTCCTATACTTCCAGTGCCCTCGACCTATCCTCTGAGCTGAATGTTACTCCTGTTTCTCAGTGTAGCTCAACTGAGCTTTCTGTACTTTTCTGAGCCCCTTTCTGGCCAGCAGTTCCTTGCTCTTTTGTTCAGAAGGTAAAACATTCTGTTGATGGCCTGGGCAACTCCTGCCTATCCATGTGTCTGCTAAGGTGCTATATCCTCAGAAAACTGCCTTAAACTCCTAATCTGGATTGAGTGCTACTTCTCTGCCCTCCTCCAACACCTTGAATTCTCTATGTCTTGAAATTTCCTCCTATTCCTTGCTTCCATCTATCCAGCAAACTGACATTCAATTAATGGGATTTTAAGTGCCTAGGAAAAGATTACCAAATAAAGAGATGGGGTTTGTGTTCTTAGTTCTAGTGAGAAGAGATAGACAATAACTAAACAAATAAATCTAAAGTAAAAGAGAATTATTAGGTGTCTGTTAGCACTATAAAGAAAATTAAATAGGAAAATGAGATCCAAGGTCACTATCAGAAGTATGGATGAGCTGGTTAATATACAGTGGCTGGAGAAAGCAATGTAAGTATGTATACAGGGCAAACCCTCCTTTATTTTCCATTATTCTCAAGCAGTAAGAAAGAATTCCAGGCAGAAGGTATAATCAAGGCAAAGAATGAGGTGTCAGCTACCTGCAGGGTAGAGAAGGAAGGAAAGAGTAATGTAGAATAAAGAAAGACAGAGAAGGGAACTATGTTGGTTAGCTTCCCACCACTGGGACAAAATGCCCCAAACCTGCAATATAAAGAAGAGAAGGTTTTTTTTGGCTCAGGGTTTCAGAGATGTAAGTCCCTGGTAAGCTGGGTCCAAAGCTGAAACATCACGGTGAAAAGGTGTGGCACGGGAAAGGTGTTCTATTGGAAAGCACAGAAGAAGAATCCATAGAGAAAGGGTTCAAGTACCACACATAGTCTCTACAGTTGCACCTGCATGATACACCCAGACACACCCAGAGGTACGCTTTACTAATCTGCTAGTCAACTCTGCAGTGAGTGCAAATCAAATTGATAATTGAGATTACTGTCCCAGCAACAGAGGTCACATCATGTAGGATCTTGTGGGCAACAGTAAAATTTTATTTTAAGTGCACTGAAACTCAGATTTTAAGAGTGGAAGTGAATGGAACAAGAAAATGTTTTATTAAAAAAATAAATGCCATGGCTGATCCATATGAAATGCCTGCAACACAGAAAAAGGCTGGATTAATCTGGGTAAGAGTCATATTTTCTTATACTTTTTGGAAATAGAGGATATATACTTTGTGCACATGTCTTTATATCTCCATAGTTTCAGTGGTGGCTAACCTATAGCATGAGTGATTTTTTGTTTTTCTTTTAAAACAAAAGATGCTAATGTATGAGGTTTTTCTAAACCTCCCTGTTCAGACTTAATTGCAGCATTGGTACTTCATGATAAATACATGGGTTTTGGGTTGCAGTTTGGGCACTCATCTCTAAAATGTTTGCCATCACTACTTTAAGATAATTGTTTATATAGTGGTACCTCAGTTGTTGAACAACTCCAAACTTGAACTTTCCACTACTCAACCAGTAAAGTTTGAAAAACAATCAGATTGAAATATGATTTAAAAAACTTCTGAGTCTCACCGCTAACACAAAGCAGTGAGCCTTCAGTCTAAGTACTGGTCTTGCCCAGACAACATATAGTACTTATGTGAGTGTGTTAAAACATTCATCATTGTGCTTTTGTGTGTGTTTTATTTCATAAAATACGGTAACCATGTCTCCAAAGAAAGTTAGCGATACCAGCAGAAAGCTAAGAAGAAAGCTGTAAGAAACACCATAGAGTTAAAGAAATCATTGGGAAACTTTAAAGTCAGAACCAGTTGCTCGGGTTTGCATTATTTCTTATGTTAAAATTATGTTTAGTTTTTAAACTTTTCAGTGTCTAGATACAAATTTGGAAAGAATTGAGTTAGACAACTGAGATATCTCTATATATTTTAAGAGTTCCCAGATTATAGCACAGGACTGTTTCCAGGTGGAGTTGACAATGATGTCATTTCAGCATTCCTTGTTCCTTCCTGTCCTCTTTCTGGTGCCAAGTCACTGGGTGTTCAGTGAATCTGTTCTCACCAATTATTTTTTCCACCCAGCTAGATGTCTTAGGGCAGAGATAAGGATGTAAACTCATAATTAACATAAAGCATATTTCTACTATACACTATTGAAGTGCTGCAAAATCATAAATTAATATTATTTGCTTTGGGAGTAGACTGTGTATTTCTCAATATGTATTATTTAAGCCAGAAATTTGGAGAGTGTCAAATGATAATTGTGGGTTTTTTTGAAGCCTAATTTTATTAATGCCATAAAATTTATTATAAAGCTTATAAATAATAATAAAAGAATAATTTTGTAAATGGAATGCTGAGTTGGAATATGTTGAAACTTTATACTTTGTGAGAAAAAAATTTCTCAATAGTTTGGATATACAGGTAGAATTCAGAAGCATTTGTAAATCTTTCATTTATGAAATAAGCCTTTGGCCTCATTAATTAGATGTGTTTATTGGCATCATTTTGCATCAGATTCATAGGTGTGATGCTTCTGGATGATGAAAAGAAATGAACGCATCAATTATAAAAAGCTTGATTTTTTTAATTTCCTCCAATAATGAAGGAGAGAAAAATCATCTCATGCAGTTAGCTTTCTTATTTCTGGAGCTGCCCAATAGAAACATGTTAGCAAGATAAGTGACTTAAATTTAATAGCCACATTACAATGTGAAGAGAAACATGTGAAATTAATTTCATATTTCATTTAACTCAATCTAGCCAAGTATTATCACTTCAATTTCTAATCAATATAAAAATTATTACTGCTACTTTGCGTTTTTTTCTTTGTATGAAGTTTTTGGAATCCTCCATGTTCTTTACAGCACATATTCCTTTGGAGTCACTGCATTCCCTTTGCTCTTTGGATAGATGTGGCTAGTGGAGTCTGCACTGAGTAGCACCTCCTTGTACCTACATCTTGCATATTCTGCCTTCTAGGGCTGTGTGTATATGTTTGTGTCTCTGTGTGTGCATTTTAAAGTAGAAAGAAGGTGACAAAATATGGCCCATCATGGACTCAGTAGATAGATGTTTCCTCGTAGGCTCACGTGATGGCACTTACAGTGATCTATGCCCTTATTCCTTTTGCAAACTAGATCAGGTGCATTCAGGGCAATATGGCTGTAAACCCCTATTCCTTTTTCAGCCATCAAAATCATGCCCTACTGGAGGCTGTGCTTTGCTCATTAAGCTTCTCAAGCAAGCTTCATCTACCTATTTCTCCTGCTTTAATAATGCCAGAAGATTTTTATTGGAATCATATAATAATAATTTGACAGACTTGAAATGAAAATCAATTTGTAGAGGTCACCTACACCTGATATGATATAATGTCTTATTTTATCTGATTGCTCTCTCTATGCTTCCTGGAATCCTATTTCTAAAGTATTGCTAATGGAGGGAGTCAGTGAAACCAGCTGTCCCCTCCAGTGGAAGAAAAAATATTAAGAAACCTTTCTTCTCTTCATCATAAACCTTCTAGAAACATACATATAGGTTTGTATGGGTAGAATACTGAAAACTCTGTCCTTAAGAAAATGCCAAACAAATGTCATGGTCTTCTCTAACTAGAGATCAGTCATTTACTTGGGGTTAGTGGGTAAATATGTCTTTGGATCATTTCAAGAGTGAAAGGAAATAGCTCAAACCTATCACACTAGGAAATTATTGTTCCTTTGGTCTTTCAGCAAATTTTCCTAAACATCTCTTTTCATCCTTTTCTGAACCCTTTATTCTTGAGGGAAGTATTAAGGTCACAGAGTTTCTCCTTCACCTGGCTCATTCCAATAATGATATATTTTTCTTAGCAGTTTTCAAATGGCACAAAATTACATCATTGTAAGTTGAATATCCTTTCTTTCATGCTGGATATTTTTCCAATAAACTGAAAGGCAAAATTAAAACAGTGAAAGTCACTGGTAATTATCTGATACAAATTTTCACTGAGAGTTCTGAGCACTCTAAAAAACAATGCTAAATTCCAACTATGAAATGCTTTATCAGTTATCAACATTTAAGACCACTACATTTTCTTCTCAGCAATAAATAAAAACATAAGTCATCAGAGATGCACAATAAGCACAAATACTGTGTGGCTGAGACAGTCAAGAGAGCTGTTTGTAAAAAGCATTCTGATTGCTTCATTCATTTGAAAGGTATTAAGTGACTTGAAAAGCTGTGCAAAGCAAGAGCTGCTAACAGTGTAGGTTCACTTCCACTCTCAGGGAGGGAGCAACTCAGTGTCTTCACTGCACAAGTATCAATGGGGCTGCCGCTGACTGCGATGTTGAGAGAGAGCCACCAGTCGCTA